TTGAGAGTACGCGAATTCAATGACTCATGATAGGTGTCGTATTATTCAAATGTACAAGACATTATCACGCGAAGTTTCGATTGGTACTGTAAATGAAGGTATAGCCGAAAGATTGTTTTAGTAGCGTGACATTTAATGCAATTTATTTATTTGACGAGCAACCTTTTTTCGAGCAGTAGTGAGAGCCTTCTTGTGTAGTATATATTAACTTACCACTGCCCATGAATAATAGGATATCGTTTTTTCCCCTGAGATCCATGATTGAGGAAAGGTGTATAATGTTAAAGTGACACAACAATTAGGATCCAAATAGGATCTGTTGATGTTTAAATCTAACCTTGATAACAAATTCTTTAGACAAAAAAAAAAAAAAGTACAAGTCAGGCTATAATTGCTTTATTTGTTTGCTAATAGTAATTTCAAATTTATTTTAAAGAAACGATGCAAGTTCCTGATTAAAATATAGTATATGGATATTTAAAAATAAAATTCTGAATAGAACCAATAAATCAATTATAATTAATATGAATAGAGCCAATAATTAAATTATACTGTCGAATTAACTTGCAAGTTTACTTGTCAATAAAGGTATTTATGAACGAAATGTCAAAACAAAATCATTATTATCCAAAATTTTCTTCTTATCAAGTCTAAGCGCTGTCTTGACACTTCCATATGAACAGCTCACAATCATGGGATACCCAGGATCACCCTGAAAACTGAATATATTTTTTGCCAATTTGTAATTGCATGTCAGCGTCATGCCTTTTAGCCTGGGGTCTGCGCTTTCTAAGCGCAGAATGCCAACTTTTTTTCCCAATCTAAATGCTTCACCTTCATCCCAGCAAAAAAAAGCATATGTATGTTAGCGTTTCTTTGTCCTCAACGTAAGACTTTGTCTGTGTCATGACTGTTTTTATCTGCGAAGCTGCTGATGTTTGTCCTGCTGCTGTTCCTATAGAAGGATCAGAGTGTAATTCATCAAACTCAATAACATAGTTATCATTGTCAATAAACTTTGTCTTGCTCTTATCAAGTCCTGTAACAATCTTTGTTCCACATAAATTAAACGGACTCTTTAAAACTATGGGATATCCAACAAATTGATGTAAACCAAGTTGGTGATAATAAGCTGTCCCGAGTTCATACTCACAATATAGCGATACACTTGACAATCGTGGGTCCGCACTGCTAATTCTGCATACACCTTCCGTTTTGCCTCCAACAAATAATGCATCCTCGTCAAGAAAAAAGTGTCTCAGGCCGAGAGAAATAAGGCCCTGGATTAGATATGTTAGACTCTTTGGGTCGGAAATATTCACAGTTTGTGTGCTTGTGGATGATAATGATACAGTAGAGGTAAGATTGTTTGTTTCTTGTTCGCTAGTGTTCAGTTTTATTTCCCTTACACACTGTTGCAATTCTTTATAGTCACCTTCAAGTGAATAAGCAATTTAGTAAATGAAAATAGTTAGCTCTACATCATACAAAATTGACCAAATTTCATGTCTAGATAGTGTTAAAAATCTTGGCAAATATTCTGTACCATTGTCATTAATGTTATATTTTGTCAATGCTTCTTTTACTTCTTGGTGTATCTTATTGTCTATGAGAAACTTAATTACTTCAGAAAGTAATAAAGCCGGACCCATTTTGAACCCACAACAATCGAGTTTTTTTTTCATCCATGAGAAGGAAGGACTTCCCATTTATTTTTTCCTTTCGAAGTATTTTAAAGTCATCTTCATCAAGTTTTAGGTTCTGTTTTTTCAAAAAACATATGAGAGTTTCCGTATCCCAGTTTTCAACCAAATAAGAATCATCTTTGGCGGTGGAAGTGAACACTGTGTTTCTATCAGTATTGTTTGATCTTGGATAAAAAAAAAAGAATATCAAAAGCAAAAGGAACAGAATGAACCACATATTCAAAAAATTTTGAGGAATTTGATATTAGCAAAGTGAGTAGTTACATTCCGGAGGTAGATAAATAATTGTGAGAAATTATTTAGTCGCACAGTCCTGTCGGGTGATTCAGCAACATTGTAACATCTTCGTAACATAAATATTAGAGAATGGATATATATAGTATAAATGTTCATCCCCTTAAAAAAGGACTTATAAAATTCCAAGTTGCAATTATCGTATTCATAGGGGCTTCTTTATATGTCGAAATTCTAATTCTATACATACCGTATACCAAAAATCTGAAAATGTTAAATAACAAGTAATTTTTTTTTTTTGGAACTGGCTCATCATAATATGAGAGATGCAGTATATTTGTGATTCACTAAAAGATTTTTTTAAAAATGATTTCCCCAAAAAGTCTAAATTGAAAACCTTTATGTTTAATAAATGATCCACCAAATAGAAAAAATTAGATTAGACAACGTATCACACAAAATTTTATTCATTTATCGTCTTAATAATAAGAAAAGCTTATTTCGATATGAGGCGTAGCAGTCAAATGAACCGTTCGGATCCGAGAGACAGCGAGTTTCGAAATAGCACTTGCACTTTACGAGATAATCCATTTAATCTTATTTTCTTAATAACTTCTTAAAAATATTTACAACCCTTTGAGTTAGTATCCTTATTAAAACCCCTCGGGAAGATGTTGCATCGCTTCATCATAATCTGGATTCTAATCAACTTTTTTGTTAACTCTCAGGGTTTCAATGATATTCTATACCCTCCCCTCATATACTTCCCATAATGATTCCAACATAAAATTTTGCATTCATCGCACGTGATTCTACTTTAGATGATCTCCGGCATAGACGAGCTAAACTCTGAGATCGAACCTTCATCGCCTTGGGTCTCGACAGATCCCCCCTTGATAGGAGTAGGTAATTCTTTCAAGAAATCCTGTATCTTATAGGTCTGAGACTCATGGCGCATCTTGATTGGTTTTAGAGGGTGAGTTCCTAGATGATCGAGTTTGAGTAATGCCTTTTTTCCTCATGGTTATATTTTTAGTTTGATCCTCCCTTTCACAGAGTCTTCCGCGACGTATATATACATATTTTTTTGTAGAGAATACGCTCTGCTCATTGGTAGTATCTGAGATCACAATGAGACTCGTAGCCTGATTGTATATTGAGGTAGAGTCGTCTGTAATCGGACTTGTTTCTTGATTTTGTATTGAAGCTCTATCCCTTGATCTGGGAGGGAGTTATCTTCCACAGCACCTACTGTAATTTCATATAATCATTTATAGTATTAGTATTTTACTAAGATGTTTTTTTCCAGAGTCAATAAAGAAATGAATCATTGACACCATTTGACACTTGTAGGATGTAAGGGGGCTTCCTCTCTAATAACTTTAATGATTGTAAAGCACACAAGATATCTAATGTGTATAGGCTTACGCATCTTACAAGCTAAAAAATACATTGAAAATTATCTATTCATTATTTACTAATAATCTTTTTTGATTTGGACTCTTTTACCGGAAGGAGAGTTACCAACCGTTACCCTATCTTTTAATAAACTAACGATAACGCCCAGCACCGTTCAACCCTTTTTCGAATAGAATTAAGATCTTCTTTCAAGGTTGTTTTGGTTAAAGTAATTTGATATCCTCTTTATTGGCACAATAAAGACTATCGGTAGCAAAAGCGATGGAATGTCATTTTGTGACAAAAAAAATCTCTAAAATTTATAAATTAACAGAACTGGAGATTAGAATATAATAGAGACTATTCCATAAGGGTGATAATCATTATTTTCATCCCGGAAAGCTTCATCTGCTGTACGCTTCTTATTGGTATAATACACGCTTTTTATATTCGTAATATTTTGGAGGTAATCGGTTTTGACATTAAGAGTCTTTTTCTTCGCTATACATCGTTTTCTTTATTGCATAATCCACACGAATGGATGCCACCTGCCAGAAATTTTTTTTGTATTATAAATAGATTGGTAAGTTTATATTTATGTAAAAAATGCACATTAATTAGCATTGATTTGTACTGTCTTCTGACTTGCTATTATTCCCATATATTCTTATATTTTCGTATATACTGTATATAAAGTATTAAATATATTTATTTTTGTTAGAGTAACCAGATAGTTATAGTTATGAAACCAATTCTTTAAATATTTTTATTTTTATATTTAAATAATTGTAATATAATTTCTAATCATTCAAATTTTTGTTTATACATACAGTATATATATTTATTAATTAATTCAATCAAGACAAAAAAAAATTTTTTATAACTCACAATTATGCTATCATAGTTAATCTTTATTAAAGTAATAAAACAAATAATATTATACTAATAATTTATTTGATAATCAACTTATTTTTGTATATTATCAATTAAAGAATTAAGTTATTTAAAGAAAATAAACTCAAGTAAGCTAGTTTAGATTAAATAAAACAGGGTTTTAACTAAATACTTTAAATCAAATTTTGGAAACAATATTTTTTTTTTTTTAAATTTGTATTTTAATTTTTAATTTAAAGATTATTATAAGTAATTTTTTAATTGATTGTTTTAAAATTGATAATATAATAAATTTTGAAACTAAAAAAAAAGAAAAAAAAATCAAATTCAAAGCTTTTTTAAATATTCATATTTATATTTTTTAATATTTTATTAAACAGAATACTTTAATTATTATATATTTATTTATTAGTTTTTATTATCTAAAACATTTAATTATTTTTTATTTCAAATGACTTTCTTATAATTATTTAAAAAACTTATTTTTTTTTAATATAAAATATATAATATTATATAATATATATTATATTATAACTTAACAAAATACTAATCAATTATTATAATAGAAAAAATTGTTATAATAGATTAAAAAGTTCATATTTTAAAAGTGAAAATAACTAAAATTTACTTAATCATATTCTTTAAAACTTTAAAAATTAAATAACAAAAAATTACTTAAAAAAAGATATAAAATTAACTCAAAATAAGAGAAAAAAAAGGTTTAATTATTTTAAAAATAATATCAATTCAATTAAAATATATAAAAAAAAAATTAAATTCTTATAAAAAATTAATCTTTTTTTTAAAAGAAAAATTAATAAATATTGTTACATATTTTTTTTATAATATATATAATATTATAACTTGATAATTTTATTAATATACAGTAATTAAAAACCTTTGAACCCCTTATTTAAAGTAATCATACCTTGAAGTTTGACAACATATACTATAAAATACTTACAATATTTTATCAAGATTTTAGTTTCCTTAAATACATAGTTTTCTATAACATTTTTTATTGAGGGTTTTTTAATGCTATAGTCTTTGAAACATATTATATATTAACCTAGTTCTCATAGTCTCTTCTCTCATTTTGTTCATTTTTACCATTCTTATTAATACAATATATTAGTGGAACTTATATATATTAGGTTAGCTTGAGTTATAAAATTAATAGTTTAAGTGGACTATTCCTAAAAAAACTGTTTATTAGGTAGCTTTAGGGTATACAGTCTTATAAATTGCATATATTATTTTGTATCTAGTCTCAACAATTAATAAACTAATTATTAGTAGAGTTAAAAAAATATTAATATAATTAAGAACCTATAGATCTATAGTGCAATGATTAGCACTTCATAGATTATATCACAAGAGTTAAAATCAAATTTTTCCAGAAGCAACCTTTAAAAAAACAGATGGTGATTTGCATTTATTAGTATAATTGTATATAATCAATATTTTCAAATATAATTATTTATCATTAATTGACTAGAGTTTTAAAATAATACAAGCTAATCTATACATAAGACTGAATGTTTAAAATTGGATAGAATTATTTTTGGCATAGCTGCATTATCTGAAAAAAATAATAAGAAGAGTAGATATTGAACTAGTAGTATGCCTTTAAAGAAAGTTAAGAAGATTAAGACTGAAATGAATAGATTTTAATATATAAAAAATTTAAGCATATGGTTGTACCAGGGTTTTACAAACTTGGCTATTAAGAGGTCTTGGTGGAAGGAGAAATTTATGATCACTGAAAAATAAAGAAATTTAAAATATCAGGAAAAAAATTTTTAATAATCTTATAACTATACTACTCTTAATAAAACTGATCTAGAAATAATTAAAAAAGAATTATATAACTTTTTTAATAGGTGGTGATTATATATAGAAATAGAATAGCTATAGTTACTTACAGTATATAGATAGGTTTACTTTATGTATATATAATTACTTATTGGCATATATATAATAAAAATATTGTATAATCCCTTAATAATATAAAACTAATATAGGATATAACATATTAATAAAAAATATGGCCTTATAGTAGTCCAGAATCCCAACAAACAAATTTAATACAACAAATTATCAACATATAAATATTAAAAACTAGAAATATTGATACACAATTTTAATAAGAGATTTTAAAATCTATTCTAATACCAAAATAAATAAAAACAGCCTCAATTGAAAAAACTTTTCCAATAAGTTACATTTCTTCTTAACTCAATTTATGGATCTTACTTTGATCAATATCTTTAGATACTATAATTCAAATAACAAAGAATTTATTAGGCTTCCTAATTGAAATATAAACAGTTTTCATAGTAGAATTGATGCCATCTGGATTTTATTTCACCTTTCATGGTACTTAATAGACTCTCATATAATTAATAATCTCTATAAAAATAGATCACAAGACAATAATCACTCTTATAAAATATAGTAATTTAAAACTTCAATAAAATACTTTAAATATTCCTTCAATAATACTAGACTAAATTGAATCATCACTATTAAAACTAAATAAAAAAATTTTGTTTAACAAATAGATAAATATATATAACAATAATTCAAATAATAAATAATAGTACTAATATCAACAAATTCTAAAACATACTAAAAAACTGGATCCTTAAATTAGACCATTTTTATATTAAATAATACAAAGAAAAAAAATCCCAATATAAAACATACTTAGAGATTAAATTTATTTTGCTTGTTTAGTTAAACAATCTAAGAAATCAGCTCAATCTTTGAGAAAATATTCTTCTAAATTAAATATCATATGAATGAATACAATATATATTAGTATTAAAAAACAAATTTCTATTAATTCAATAGATAATAATATTAATCTTAGTCTAGTTATTGAGAAGAGAAATCAATAAATAAAAATAGAAAAACCAAAATATAAAAAGATTACAAATAACAAGGTTAGAGATATTTTAAGCAGTAAAATAAAGCTAGTTCTATATTAATAAAAAATATATTATCAGATCTTTATTTAGTTAATCCAAATAAAATATCATTATTATAAGACTAGTCACAGGTAATAAAGCTAATAAACAAGTTCTTTTATTTTTTCTTTTCTTTATTATAATTTCTTAAAATCAGTTACTTAAAAGATATTAGATAGTAATAACTTGCCAACAATAACAAGTAAGTTAGAAGGGTTTTTACTCAAAACTTATTTTGAAATAAATTTATTGTTTCTAAGATCACACTTAGAAATTGAAGCTTATTTGAGAATTGAAAGTTATTAACAAGTGAGTCAATATAATATTTAGTTTAGTCATGATATAATTGTTCAATGTATTTGTATTAGTTTTCTTTAAAATTAATAAACATACTGTCAGAGATCATACAGATAATGTAATTTATATGTAATGGTCTAGAACCTAAAAACATAAAGATTTGGTATAAAAGATTGAGTGTCATGAAATAAAAAACTATGAATTGAGGCTTGAATACTGATAAGGAAACTATATATATCTAATAAAATATGGAAAGTTTAACAATACTTAGAGTTAATATAGCCTATTGTAAAGTAGATAGTCTATTGTTAGCTAGAAAAGTATAAATAACCTATCAGTATAAGCCAAGAAGGTAGTACTAAATATGTCAAAAAAACAGTCTCATAATAAATAGAGATAATAGTTAGTATTA